GTCACCCAGGCTGGAGTGCAGTGGCATGATCTCAGCTCACCGCAACCTCCACCTCCCAGGTTCAAGCAATCGTCGTGCCTCAGCCTTCTGAGTAGCTGGGATTACCGGCGCCCACCATGCCTGGCTCATTTTTGTATTTTTGGTAGAGACCAGGTTTCACCATGATAACCGGGCTGATCTTCAATTCCTAGCCTCAAGTGATCCAGCCGCCTCAGCCTCCCAAGCTGGGATTACAGGCATGAGAAACTGTATCCAGCTGAAAGGCATTTAATTTATAGTTCCCTCCCTCAGCTGTCTCCAGATACAGGGGTCATGAGAGGTATGGAAAAGACAGAATAGATATTCACTTAGAACTCTGCTCAACCTCTTCTAACAGTTGTTACCTTCCAGTATTGGTCAGACATTTCTATTTTTGAGATTTAAATATGAGGCATAGATTTTGTTTTGCTTTTCTTCTAATTTTTTTTTCCACACCTAAGGGCAGCCTGGAATTATTTTAAGTTCAACTTTTAGAATTGATTTACCTACCTCCTTCTTTCCCTTTCTCCCTGTCTCTCTCCTTCCATTTTTTCCCTTTCTTTTTTTTTATTTTTTGCTATTAAATTTTGTAACAGAGGAGAAAATATCCATTGTCACTTTTTTTTGGTAATTGAATGCTATTTTTGGAAGTCACTGTTAACTATTTTAATTGTGCTTTAATATTTGTAATATAAGCTGTTTTTATTTATTAATACGCCTATGAAATTGGTTAGTATATTATCACTTTTTTTTTTTTTTTGAGACAGAGTCTTGCTCTGTTTCACAGGCTAGGGTGCAGTGGCATGATCTCGGCTCACTGCAACGTCCGCCTCCTGGGTTCAAGCAATTCTCCTGCCTCAGCCTTCTGAGTAGCTGAGATTACAGGTATGCGCTACCACACCTGGCTAATTTTTGTATTTTTAGTAGAGATGGGGTTTCACCATGTTAGCCAGGCTGGTCTCAAATTCCTGACCTCATAATCCACACACCTTGGCCTCCCAAAACTTCTGGGATTACAGGCGTGAGCTACCACGCCTGGCCTATTATCTCTTTTTTTTATTTTTTATTTTTTATTTATTTATTTATTTTAAAATGGGGTTTCACCATGTTGGTCAGGCTGGTCTTGAACTCCCGACCTCAGGTGATCCACCCGCCTTGGCCTCCAAAGTGCTTGGATTACAAGCATGAGCCACCACGCCCGGCCACCTGTTATCTCTTTTTAACAAAGAAGAAACCTAATATTCTCTCCCAAGATCACATAATTATGGCAAATTAAGAATTAGACTTTTGTCTTAATTCGAAACCTGATATTTACTCCAGTATGCCAAACTGCTTTATAATGAATACAACATTAATCAAGAATCACATTTTTATTTTAATTTATTTTCTTTTTCTAGGTCAGTGCAAAAGTAATGAATCACATTTTTAAAGGCATATATCTATTTTTTTGGCTAGGCATTTCAAATATGATTTAATAAAAGGTTAACACAAAAGTAATTTCTGCTTATAAATTTTTTTTTTTTTTGAGACGGAGTTTCGCTCCTGTTACCCAGGCTGGAGTGCAATGGCGCGATCTGAGCTCACCGCAACCTCTGTCTCCTGGGTTCAAGCAATTCTCCTGCCTCAGCCTCCTGAGTAGCTGGGACTACAGGCGTGCGCCACCATGCCCAGCTAATTTTCGTATTTTTAGTAGAGACGGGGTTTCACCATGTTGACCAGGATGGTCTCGATCTCTTGACCTCGTGATCCACCCGTCTCGGCCTCCCAAAGTGCTGGGATTATAGGTGTGAGCCACCGCGCCTGGCCCTATAAAATTTAAAATGGCAGGTTTTCAGTGTGACGTTTGAGTTTGAGATGATTTGGCATGAGGGCCAGCAATGGGTGGTAAAAATTATAGCACAAAGAAAACTAAGCAGGTGCATATGAGGTATTGTCTCTTTATGCTCATCAGAAATTCTCTCCAAAAGAAAAGTTTTAAAAGAAGAAATAATTGTTATAAATTGCATGAAATATATAGTGGGCTGCATTCGTAGCCCCCCTCCATATCTATATCTCTGTACATAGATATAGAGATATAGACATAACTTGTTTCTTCATAAGTTACCTATGTCTGCCTCTACCTGTATCATCATAATAAAGGTGTCATGATGATACAGGTAGAGGTAGACATATAAAACTTATCTCTTCATAAGGGCTAAAATGAGAACTAAAAGTAATGAGAATTCAGTTGAATATGATTAATTAGCAGGACATGTTAATTAGTTCTCTTGATGCTTTACCGTGATGCAAAGTATGTGATGTATTTTAAACATTTTATAATAATTGTTCTTATGTTAACCATTAGGCAAGATTTGTATTTCTAATGCTTTTAATGTTCTTTTAAAATAATGTTTGGAAAATAAAAATAACTGAAAATCCTAACATTTCTGAACACCAGTTTGCTATATAGTGACTTTCCTGTCTAATCATTTTTAAATGATCAGAGCATGGCAATGATCATTTTTGCACAATGAACAACAATGTGTTGAAGCACACACAGAGAGCTCCTTCCTTTAAGAGATGAAATAACTTGTTTGACTACGTATAATTCTTTTCTTTTTTTTTTTGTAGATATGGGGTCTCCCTATGTTGCCCAGATTGGTCTCCACCTCCTGGGCTCAAGCAATCCTCCCACCTCAGCCCTCAAAGTGCTGGGATTACAGGAGGGAGCCACTTCCCTGTGTTTGACTACATTTTGTATCAAATATGCTCAGAGTAACCAAGGATAGTTAATGCCAAAGACTATTTACACAACTAAATTTCTTAGTGAAAACAGGCTAAATGAACATTTCAACAGCTCATTTAAATGAACATTTCAACAGCTTATTTAAATGAGATTGACCTGGAAAAAAGAACATTTTTGAATCTTTAGTGTTTTGATCAGGGTTTGGATTTAAGAATCAGAAAACATTAACATAAGCAGGAACGGGTTTAATATAGGAAACTAGATGTCTACAAAATTATTACATAGGGCTCTATGGTGAGTCTCCAGGAAAGATTCTACCAAAAGCATGACTAGCCTGACCAGCCAGAAATGCTACTACCTTTGCTCCAGCCAAGAAGAGAGGAAGTCAAGAGGCCTGACTTGGCCTTTTGACTTCAAGAACACAGTTGAAGTTGTTATCCAGCAATGAGAAAGTTGCTGCCACCACTATTTCCATAAAACACTCTCTTGATACCTACAAAGCAAGTGGATGAACAACAAGACCCTGCTGTAGAAAAACTCTGGCACCATTCAATTAGGTGGAGAGACTAAGTTTGCATCTAGAAGCCTAGCTTCAGGGGAGTCTGGAAAACGTGGTAACACAAAAGTATACTCAAAGGCGATGCAGAGCTTTAATCCATTCTGTCCACAGTTGTTCACCTTGGTAGTCAACATTTTTTTTTTTTTTTTGAGATGGCGTCTTACTCTGTTGCCCAGGTTGGAGTACAGTGGCACAGT